ACTTAGATACTCCAAAGATAATGTTTTACCAGCTTGTTATTTTATGACTTTGGTGGGGAGGCCAGCATAAAACAAGAAACTGGGGATGGGGCAGCTCCATATAGTCCTTTCCTGCTCCAGAGCGGACCAGGACTCTCTACTTGCCGCCTACTGCTCTTTAGCTACCGTAGCAGCAGCAGGGGGAGGGTAAGGGATGATTTTAAGAGGTCTGTCGGCTGTGATTTGACAGAGATGTCTAACCCAAAGTTTCTACTTCATTGCAGAAATGTTATTTCTTATCAACCAGCATGGCCACTGTATCAACATTTGTGTCAGCTACAGGCCTATACTTTCAGTTCAACATTAGCACCATCACACCAGTATTGCTCAACCAGGGAAAAGCTAAACCAGTACAAGAACTTTCATAGAAGCTTAACAGTATCCACACTGGAAGTGCAGCAGTGTAAATAAATCAGCACCAGCTTTGGGTATAGCCACATCTCCACCAGCATTGCTATTGCATAACTGGGGGGCCCAGGGAAGGAAAAGGGCTCATCTTCAGCACATTTATATCAAGCTACTCCACTCAGCCTAACCTTGAGAATACACACTAAGAAACAACATCTCAGCTACACGGAGTGATTTGATTATGAACACAGAGTGATTAGATTAGCAGCAGATGACTTGGAAATCAAGCTGCTGCATTCCCATTGAATTACTAGCTCCACAAGCAGCAACTCATGGAGCTACCCTCAGCAACTCCCTCTTCCACCCAACCCTCCCCTTTCAAGCCTATGAGCATCTCTTTAAGATCCTTCAAACACCGAGTAAACAAAAGACAACATCTCAACCTGTACCAAACACAATCTGTTATCATACTACACCAGTAGTGTCTATTGAGGTCAAGATGACTCTGAAAAGCATTTCCTAGGTCACATTTCCTAAATGAAACAGCTATAAAAGCTGATATCCATCTTACCAGGAGGCCACATGGTCCAAGAGAGAGCAGCTTTGAATGAGACCATCTCCTCTGATCTAGTTTTCAGCAACCAGGGCAGAAGGTAACACACACAGTAAGTAAGTGGACATGACCATGCAGACACCAGCAGAAGGCCATGCTCCCAGGCAGCTGAAGTAATGCAACCCATGAAGCAAGCTGTCTTCAACCAGGGCATGGAAAAACTCCTCAGCTCAGCCACATAAATCACCAGCCTTAGCTTGTTGCAGGGCTCAGCTGATGAATAGCAGCTCTTTAAACCAAAGGAACTTGCAGCCATCTGCTCAGCCCCGTGGTTTAATGGTTCTAAGTAATTTCGGTTGAATTCTATGACTGCAGCTAACACACTGAAAACACTTACAAAATAACATGAAATACACTTAAGAAAGTCGTACAGACAGTCCTGAAATTGATGTTGGCTCAGGCTTAAAACCAGAGAGCAACACTACCTACTCATTCAACAAGATTGTAGTACAAAGCCTCAAAGTGGAGGTTTTGGCTGTGGTCAAATTGTTGTTAACACTGTTCAAGGAAATTTTGCAACAAACTCACTTGGTTTTTCTGTTTTAATAAAAGAAGGCACAGAAAAGTCCATCTTTACCAGCACCATGTAAAGCATAACTTCTACTTCTCCAAAATAGTACTCGGCCGAGTTAACCCATAGTATGCTGAGCCTACCTACATCCATCTGATCCTAACACCCACCAGCTGAGAGCACCTTCCTGCACTGAGTAGGACACTTTTTGGGAGTTAGCAGCCCTTCTCCCCTCCTTTCCAGCCCCAAAGCAGCAAAACCCCCACATTGCAAAAATACTTTAACTCAATAGGGCCTTCTCCTCAGAGCCATTATTATCACAAGATTAAACAAACCTGATGGTTTCTATCCAAAGTACACAAAGCTCTGACTTTCCACAACTGATCTGGGGTGTTTAGTATTCATTTCAAAAGCCAGTGTATTGCAGCTCATGTTATTTACCCGGGAAACATACCCAGAGCATGAGATCTATGGGAATCACCAGTTCTGTTCAACCCAGCACAGTGTCTTTCAGTTCAAATAGAGGTTTTAGGATCTTTATAGTTCATTCTCTGGAATGTTTATTACAATGTAGTTGAAAACATGTATTAATCCACAGTTACTTCAAAAAAATCCATGTTTGAGTCAAAATGTGAAGGGAAAAATATAGAGCGAGAGAAATCTGGAACCTTTCTATTGGTGTTTTAAGGCACACCAAACTACAGCAATTTATTTCCCCATATCCAGTTGTAATGCTAAACCACAGATAAACATTACTAATGGAGCAGAAAAAAACTTCCTTCTGATGGAGGTCCAAGATTGCCCTCTTGAGTATGGCAAACAGCATGGGGTACTTCACTTACCATGTGATTGGCACACACTTGAGTTTTGAATCAGTTTGGAGATGAAGTTGTTGGCTAAAGCCCTGGAAACTCTGACTCTGGAGTTGTCAGGCTGAGAAAGAATCATTCTTTTAAATAGCACTATATTACTTGGCTTTTTCTCTGTTTTTACATTGTTCATTAATGTTTTGCATTTCTACAGATTGTGCAGCACCCCAAGAACTTTCATAGGGGGAACTTCATAAAAGAAGTTTATTATTTCAGTGTGTAATAATAAAATAGCTACATGTCTGGGGGTATATTCTAATGCAATCTATTTGGATGGCACACAAAAGGTCAGCCAGTGCAGGCTGACACAAAAAGAAGGCAGAAATCATTTGTTACCATAACTCATTTCCACGGCATCTCTTACAATGTAGGGAATTCAAATGGTTGAGGGTTTATTTTTCCATTTATCTTGTAAACAAAGGAAATTATCCCATAAACTTATGCTTAAATTATTTTAGTCAACGTTATTTTGCATAGCAACCAGTTTATTTCGAGTGTATTTCGAGACACAGAGTTTGGTTTATTATTTCATTGATATTAATGGAAATGATCCAGAAGAGGAAAACACGTTATTTGGAGGTCTAATGCCTTCCATATCCTAAAGCAGTAAGAATTCTGGGAGCATAGTGCTTGGAGGATTGGTTCTGAATTCCCTTCCTTAGGGCCATATAACTATAAAATCATAAGTTCTTTTCAGAGCCAGTCTACCTCAAACTCAAACCTTCATGCACCTTCCTCTGTCAGCTTGATCTGCTTTACCCCTTGTGCCATGAACAACGCACACACACAAACACTCACATGTACCTACATCAGGAGCACCCGCCTGCAGCCCTGATCCAGCTCTGGGGAACAGCACAGGAGGGATGTGGAGCTGCTGGAGCGAGGCCAGAGGAGGCCCCGGAGCTGCTGCGAGCGCTGGAGCAGCTCTGCTCTGGAGCCAGGCTGAGAGAGCTGGGCTGGGGCAGCTGGAGAAGAGAAGGCTCCTCAAGGGGACACCTTAGAGCAGCTCCAGGGCCTAAAGGGGCTCCAGGAGACCTGGAGAGGGGCTTTCGACCAGGGATGCAGGGACAGGACAAGGGGAATGGCTTGAACCTGCCAGAGGGGAGATTGAGATGAGCTCTGAGGCAGCAGCTCTTCCCTGTGAGGGTGCTGAGGCGCTGGCACAGGGTGCCCAGAGAAGCTGTGGCTGCCCCATCCCTGGCAGTGTTCAAGGCCAGGGTGGACACAGGGGCTTGGAGCAACCTGCTCTAGTGGAAGGTGTCCCTGCCCGTGGCAGGGGTTGGAACTGGATGAGCTTTAAAGTCCCTTCCAAACCAAACCATTCTGGGGTTTTGGGATTTTATCATATTGTGAGTCACACGCAGCAATGCACACACTATTTACAACATCATTTCTTTCTTTACTTATGCAACTGCTGAGTTATAACCAAACATTACAGTTATTTTGCACAGCAACCTAATGTGCAGCTTCTTTTTTATCTAGTTTCTCAAATGGGCAGTAACCTGCCTCCACAGCCATGACACCTTTCAGAAAAGGTTTCTGAACACAGTTTTGACTCCCTGTTGTGGTAAACCCTCAAGGATCCGGTTCCATGCTATACTTCTGCCAACACAGATGCTGTCAGCTGCTTGAGGTACAGCCCTACCACTGATTCTGAAGTTGAGGGAGCTTTTGTACCAAGATGAGGGTCAACCAGTATCAAATAACCCACATACAATCGCCACCTCTGCTCTCCTAATAGAGGTATTGCTGAAACCATGTACAGTTGTGCTTTTTCTCTTCATGACAATTTTCATCATAACGTATGTCTTCAGAGTAACATATGAGCGTTGATTTCAATGATCTCTCAACTGCACAACACATTCACTTCACATATACGTTTATTTCATCATCCATTTGTGTAAGAAGTAGTTCAGATCTCAAGAAAAGGCTCTGATGATGATGACGATAAATCTGTGCTACAAAGGTGGCTTCATAATTAAGATGACTTGTTTGGCTGCAGGTTTTTTCCCTTCTCAGGAATGGGTTTCTCAGTGCATTGCTTTTCCGTGTGGTGTTTTGGATACCGCCTATAAACTGGGGTCTCAGAGCTTTTAACTTTCATAAATGAGGTCTGATAAATGGTTAAACCATCCTCTCTGCTGGGAACTGGCTCATGAGCCCATAGGAAGAAGTTCTGGGAGTTCTGCTGCCGTCTCTCTGGTTCCACCTTCCTGCGGCCCAAACCCTGAGGAAAACATGGGAAGACAAATTCATGTAAAACATATGATTTACGATCACAGTTTCACAGATTCATCTTGTAACAGTCACTACCCCAGTGGGAAGTTGAGGAAGCTGTTACCACAGTGATTCCCAGAACTCAGGGTTCATCTTTAGCAAGTTAAAAATAGGATTGTGAGACTCGCCTGGATGAATATATATTAAATGGGAAATCTGTTGACCTACCACCTCTTAGTACTAATAAACCACTTCAACTTTGCATTTCTGTAGCACACTGTCTACTCCAGGCTATTTAGCTCTACTCAGCTAAATTAATCAGCAGAGTAACCCAAAGAAATAGGTTAATAATTTTATGTTTAGACTGCAATAGAGAAACTGAGACAGAGCATGAAATCTGAATCTTCAAAGCTATCCCCTGTGTGTCCACACACAGAAAGACAGAGCCTAATTTCCACACTCCATAGCTTGCAGGAAATTTATTTGGAATTATGGTTGATCAGTATCTCTAAAGCTATGAGACACTGCACAAAGTGCACCGAAATGGAGGTTACTCCCCGAATAATGAATACCAAAAATGCAGGCCTAAGAGAGCCCAAAGTCAGACAAACAACCACAGTTCATTACTTCCTTCTCTAGTCATTATCTTGTGAGCTGCCCTACTGCCTTTGCTAGGGACAGGACAAGGGGAATGGCTTGAACCTGCCAGAGGGGAGATTGAGATGAGCTCTTGGGCAGAAGCTCTTCCCTGTGAGGGTGCTGAGGCGCTGGCACAGGGTGCCCAGAGAAGCTGTGGCTGCCCCATCCCTGGCAGTGTTCAAGGGCAGGTTGGACACAGGGGCTTGGAGCAACCTGCTCCAGTGGAAGGTGTCCCTGCCCGTGGCAGGGGTTGGAGCTGGATCAGCTTTAAAGTCCCTTCCAACACAAACCATTCTGGGATTCTTTGATATGTCAACAATCTAAGAAGAGTGGAAAAACCCACAAAACTGTTGCATATAGAGGAAAGCCCAAACCAGTATAAATTCTATTCAAAGTTGTGGCTTCTGAACATACATTTAAAAAAGTATGTTATAGAAAGATTGGGATTGCAATAGTAAGTTTTGGAGATATATTGTGGGTGTCCAATGGATTTTGGTTAAACTTAGGACAAAAAATCACATAGGTGGGATTCAATGAGTGAATTATGAGTGGCTGAGCCCCCTACAAAAGTTCATCACAAAGCAAAACCCTTTCAGCAGACTAAAGGAGTTATCACCAGCTACAAAACTATGTGAAGACATGAAAAACATTTTCTAGGACCTCTAGAAAATGCCTGTCAGAGACCGAAATTATGAAGGTTTTGTTCCCCATGTATTCTGCCACCCTCAGTGACCATGCGTGTTGCTGCACCCCTGTGACACCCCCAGAGGATCCCCATCCCAATCCTAATAAAAAGGGGGTGTTTCTTTGCTGTTTACATCTTTCTCTTCTATCAAATCTATAGTCTGGATAGGGGAGAGAAAAACCCTGTGTTTCATCTCTGGCAGGCGGAGGGATCTGAACTTGCTGGATTTTGCTCAGTGCTGGTACTTACAAAATCAAAATACTCTCCTACATTCCTCAAACAGTGTCTGTTGTCATGAAAAGATAAGGGGAAGTTGTTCTTCACTGCTGTCTGAAAAGAAGAAACAATAGCAAATAAGTATCAACCTGGTTTGGAGTTTACTTGAGTTTTACTTATATCCTGACAGATGCTGAAATTACAGCTGCCTAAATTCTATCACAGAAGTCACAGAAACAGAATCATAGAATGGTTTGTGTTGGAAAGGACCTTAAGATCATCCAGTTCCAAGCCCTGCCACGGGCAGGGACACCTTCCACTAGAGCAGGTTGCTCCAAGCCCCTGTGTCCAACCTGGCCTTGAACACTGCCAGGGATGGGGCAGCCACAGCTTCTCTGGGCACCCTGTGCCAGCGCCTCAGCACCCTCACAGGGAAGAACTTCTTCCTTATCTTTAACCTGAACTTCCCCTGTTTCAGTTTGAACCCATCACTCCTTGTCCTGTCGCTACAGTCCCTGATGAAGAGTCTCTCTTCAACATCCTTGTAGCCCCCTTTCAGACACTGGAAGGCTCCTCTGAGGTCTATATTCACATATTAAATCTTCACCTGCACATAATTTTATAGGGGTATTGCAGACCCTCTGTATTTTACTTTATTTACAGGATCATCAGGAGGATTTGCATTCCCTTGACTTGAATATATACACAATTAATATAAAAGTGTGACTTCTCAAATAAGAAAGGAGACCTTCTGTCTGCAAGCAGCAAAATACTACATGTCTTATTTGATTCACCAGTAAGCCTAAAGCTAATTAAAATGAACTACAAAAGGGACCTTGAAACTGAATTAGTCTCTGATTTATGTACTGAACATCATGTACACTGCTTGTTGCAGGGGAAGTGGAGGAGGAATTAATTGCATAACTCATTTATAATCTCATTCTTTAACATAATGTTTAAGCCAGTTTCCAAAATGAACCTAGTGTTTTAGAAGAAAATAAGGACAACTGCAAAAGAATCATTTTAAAAGTAGTTCAACTGGGTTCGAATGAACTGAGAGAGGGTGGATTTAGACTGGATGTAAGGCAGAAGCTCTTCCCTGTGAGGGTGCTGAGGTGCCGGCACAGGGTGCCCAGAGAAGCTGTGGCTGCCCCATCCCTGGCAGTGTTCAAGGCCAGGCTGGACACAGGGGCTTGGAGCAACCTGCTCTAGTGGAAGGTGTCCCTGCCCGTGGCAGGGGTTGGAGCTGGAGGAGCTTTAAGGTCCCTTCCAACACAAACTGTTCTATGGTTATGTATCATTGCAATATGATTAAAATAGCTAAAAACTGAAACACTGAAATCTCTTCCGGACTATTAAATTGCCTCTGTTCTTCCCCAAGCACTATTCTGTTGCTTCATATTGGGAGCTTTATGGTTTTTTCCTGCAAATGCTCTAGCAATTTTTACTTTTTCTGTTGTGGAATACATTTTGCCTCTCCCAGCTATGGTATTCACCTCCAAACAGAGGAGCAAGTTTCAATGTGTAATGTGCAATTAAACAAAATAGGTTTCAGAAGTGAAGCTGAATCAGTTCTAAAGATAAATGTAACAGGAGGCCTGATCCAGCATCACTAAATACTAAATCTGCCTGCGTGGAGTCAGCTGCATAGTTATATCTGAGGGCACTTGGTATCTTAGACAGATTTTCTGCCTTTTTTAGGTATGTGCCACACGTTCACTTGTTTTCTCATCCAGATTCACCCAGACTGTAGTTCTGTGGTTAAGTAAATTCAGCAGACACATTCTCATACATGTGTTTAAAAATAAGCACCTTCTATGTCACTAAAATGTGGCATTCACTAAAATATACGACTGCAATTACACATCAATCTTATCATTTTAGGAATAGTGTTTATTGTCAGTGCCTATATGCTGCAGGAAAACTGAAAACCAAGGTGGTAAATACTGAATATCATCTCTTGGAAGGATTCCCCAGATTAACTAATGGTTTAAAAAAGGAAGTATGAAACAGGAGGTAAGGTAAGCTTAAACAGTGCTGTGTTTCTGAGAAAACTAACCCCACAGGCAGCAAATCCCCTCATACAAAGAGATCATGGATATCCAGCCGCATATGCAGTGAGCTTCCAACACTCTATCAGCACTTCTTAAAACTGTCACAGGAACAGACTTCCTCAGGTTGTTCCTGGGACATCACACTTTAGCCTGTAAGAGCTAAAATCTTTGTACTCTCACTGCTGATCTCATTTGAATTCTTGATTTATGAGAGAAAGAAATTCCACTAATTCCTTTTAACAGTGACATGCTGGTAAATGCAAGACATAAACCAGGTGAACAGTACTACTAGTGTTGATAAAAGGTCCAGCTAACCAAGTTCTGTTTTTCACAGTGGCTAAGGCCAGATGCTCCACAGAAAGGTGTATGTAATATCAACACAAGGTACACTCATGGTACAATATAATCTTCTCCATCTCACTAGTGCCCAGCTTCCCTTTTAAATAGTCCTTCCTGCTCTTTGGTACAGCAAAATCTGCGAAATGAATTCAATATAATTGCTATGCTCATAGAAAATGGAAATAGAAAATGTTCTGTGCACAAAGTGGGTGGGTAAAGGAAAGCTCAGTGTGATGATAAAATAAGGACATAAAAATGTGCTTATGAAACTGTAACACTTTAAATCCTCGGGGTTTTAAAATACTGCATTTTGTTTCCAAAACTGTCCCAAATCTCCTCATTTTTAAGCTTTTTTAAGCTCATTTTTAAGCATTTTTAATGATCAAACAAGTAATCCTTTGCCTGAATATACAGAATTGCTGACATTCAATTCAAAACAGATCATCAAATTTCACTTAAACGGTCTTATATGGCTTTATACACAGCCTTTGGGCTGAGATAGATCGTGATTGATTCTATGATATATTCTGGCATATAAGTATGTCTCAACTAGGTGTAGTAGCTACTAAAAGAGCAAAGTTAACCGATGCTGGCAGCCAAGAACTACAGCAGGACTTTGAGTACCCAAAATTAGAACTGACTAACAATGAAATATGTTTCTGCCTTAGCACAAGCAGCAATGACTTTACTCCCTGAGGCACAAAGTCTGCCACTCTGCTACAACTACTTTACTAACTACCACACTTAACTTAGCAAGTGCAAAAGGAGCTCTGTAAGTTGTATTGCCACAGTAACCCACCTGCTCCCGAGCCTTGTGTGCTAGCGGCAGTTCCTCCTCGATGTACTGAGCTGCTCCCTTGTTCCGGACCTGGTTTTGTGCAGAACTAGTTGGCTCGGGTTGATTCTGGTCTACTCCAATGTGAGCAAACTAGAAAATAACAACGATTCTGACAATTTAGAACAACAAACCCAAACAACAACAAAACCCCAATTAGATCTGATCAGAAATGTGGCCAAAATTGCATTTTCCCATGGTTTTTTTATTCTTTGGCTTGCAGCAGCACCTAGTGGTCTCTGGAAAAATCAGGAGCTTCCAAGGACACGGTGCAACCACTGCAATAAAGACCTTACAATGTAACCAGACAAGAATATTGTTCCTCCAAGAACCTTCTGAAAACTGTTGATGTCGTGATAATCCATCTATGCCATAACACTTCCTTTTCCCTGTGCTGCTCCCGCTGTTGTAGGTTTGAAAACACACAACTGGGGAGGAACAGCTCAGGGAAACGTTAGGCCCATGGGTTCAGAGGCTGAAGAATGGGCTGTGCTAGGCATGGGTCACAGTGCCCTGCAATGCTAAGATGTCCCAGCCCAGGGCCTTGACAGGGGCTGTGGCTCTTCTGAGAGCGAGAACTGAGACAAACATTGACTCAGAGAATCAACCAGCTCGGAAAAGACCTTTAAGCTCATCAGGTCCAACCATCCCCAGCAGTGCCAAGGCCACCACTAACCCCTGGCACTGGGGCCTCGTCTACCCGGGCTGTGAACACTCGCAGGGACACTGACTCCAGCCCTGCCCTGGGCAGCCCGTTCCAGTGCCTGCAGCCTGTTCCAATGCCTGAGCACCCTCTGGGCAAGGAATTGTTCCTCAGTTCCAGCTAAACCTGCCCTGGGGCAGCTTGAGGCTGTTCACTCTTGTCCCATCCCTTGTTCCTTGGGAGAACAGACCGACCCCACCTCACTACAACCTCCTTTTGGGCAGTTGTAGAGAGTGGTAAGGTCCCCCCTGAGCCTCCTCTTCTTCAGACTAAACCCCCAAGGTCCCTGAGCGGGCAAGTTCCAGAAGACAGTCATCCAGGGCTAAGTATGAGACCTCCAGCACTGCTGGAAGAGTGGAAAAAACACACTGCCAGGGTTTGCTTTACTCCCTCCGAATGCAGAGGGCACTTCCTCCTCCTCATCCTTAGGAAGGGGGAACCCCGTTCCTGCCCGAAGGCTACGGCCACCCTCAGCACAGAGTTCAGGGAGAACAGGGAGGATGCGGCAGGGCTCCGGCCCGGCCCTCACCCAGTTGCCGGTGCGCTGCGCGCTGGGATGGCCCCGCCT